TGGCTTGCCACTCGGTGACATGGAGGATGGTAGCATCTCATCCAGTCACTGTGAGGAATAGGATGGAGCATAACTGGGCGGGACAGTTGTCTGGGACGTTCAGCACCACCTTTGGTCGCAACTCTTGGCCAGTCTTTAAGATTGTCCTTGGGTTACTTATTAACACTCTATGAGAATCATTAACTTTATGGTACTCATCCTCTGAGCACGCCTGGATCTTCTGCTCCCCATTGTCTTTCTTACTTGAGTTCCTTGCAGGCCGCAGAACAGTCGTTGGGTAACAGGTCAGCTGTATTAATAGCAGGCCATATGGTTCACAGACATTTTGCTCCCAACAACTTGATAGGAATTCTGGTGGCACGATTTTTGTTTTTAATTTTAACTAGGGAAGTGTAAGGACCATCTGCTGTTATTTTCTTGTCTGCGATCCTGGTAGGCCATTAGTTTTATTCTTCTGCTCCTGTGCAATTGCACTGCCGTGCAGGGAGGCTTTGCAGTGATGCTGACAGCTTCATAGTCAGTCGTAAGTGTAGAGAGTGTCATCCAGATTGTTCTCATGAGGCTCAGTGGGTTTGCCTACCTGCTTAGGACCTGCAGCTTCCATTCCAGCTGGACAAATGCTTTTATTGCAATGGTTTTATTGGTTGGAAGAGGCCATTGTGAAGCAAACCAAATCTCTGGGTAATAGTCATGCCAGTGTGGGGTGGGGTTGCTTTAGTTAAAATCATGGAAGCCCTGAAGGATGAAGACTATGAGATATGAAGAATGTGTTGGTTTGTTCTCGTCAATTTTATACAAACTAGAGTGACCTGAGATGAGGGAATCTCAACTCAGATTATGCTTCCATCAGACTGGCTTGTGAGCTTGTCCTTGGGAGCATTTTCTTGATTGACAATTGATGTGGGAGGATCCAATCCACTCTGGACAGTGCTATCCCTTGGCAGGTGATCCTGGGGTGTATAGAAAAGCAGTCTCAGTAAGCCACAGGGAGCAAGCCAGTGAGCAGTGTTCCCGCATGGCCTCTGCTTCAGTTCCTGCCTGCAGGTAACTGCTTGAGTGCCTGCCCTAGCTCCCCTTGATGATGAACCCTAACCTGTAAGATATAATAAACTGTTTCTTCCCCAAGTTGCTTTTTGTCATAGTGTTTTATTGCAGCAACATAAAAGCAAATTAAGACAACGGTTCCTAAGTGGGTAATCTAATGCAGGTTTGAACTAAGAGAATCCCCAGGGGAAGGAAGGTTGGTAACAAAGACACTGAGCAGGAAATGAACAGGGTGCAGGAGGTTCTGCTGGGCCTGCCACACTGCAGTGAGAAAGGAGAGTGCAGACAGTCCTGGGCGCAGAGTCTAGTGTGTGTGACAGGAGCCGCAAATGGGGAAATGATGCCATCTTAGGTTTAGGACACTCACCTTACCCAATGATGGGGATGGATTATTAGGGAGGAAGAACAACAGGATGACTGGCTAGGGCGTCTGGGGTGTTCTTTGCAAGAGATTGATGCATAGAATTGCATGGTGTAGGTACTAAGAAATGGGATCTTTTGGGATGTTATCCCAGATGGGAATCCCTGGTACACGCTCAGTCTTAGGTGTTGAGTGTGAGTATCTAGGTGATGCCTGGGATGCTCAGATATGGAGAGAATGATGATTCTCTTTTGGCTAGTGAAATTGGGATGGCTAGGCCTGGAGAGATGGCTCAGCAGCTAAGAGCACTGGCTGCTCTTCCGGAGGTCCTGAGTTCAGTTCTCAGCAACCATGTGTTGGCTCACAACCATTAATAATGAGATCTGTTGCCCTCCTCTGGCCTGCAGGTGGACATACAGGCAGAACACTATATATAATAAATAAATAAATCTTTAAAAAAAGAAAAAAGAAAATGTTTGGATGGCTTCCAAAAGAGGTGAAGTTCTCTAGTAGGCATATGAGCCTGAGTGTTAGATGAGAGTTGAAGACTGTAATAGTCATTTAAATTTCCTATAAGTCAAGAACACAACAAAGAGACTCGCATCTAGGCCAGGACTTGACCATTCTAATACATATACACATCAGGAAGAGATGCTAGCGGAGGACCCTGGCATGGGTACTCAGAGAGGCTGGAGAAACCCAGGTGCTGGGGAGGACACCGGAAGAAAAAGACTCTGCCGAGGCTGGTGAATGGTGATCCCACCCAGGCCCCAGTGCCAGTGGCTAGCACCTACACAGCAGCATTGTGAATTTTGTTCCGTAGATGCAAGGCAGGTTGGGCTGTTGCCCACCTGCCGAATCCTCGGCCATCGCAGCGCCAGAACCGTTAGAATCTTGTCTCCTTGGGATGCTGCGGGGGGGGGGGGGCCTTGTTTCTGTTTTGCTCCAAATTTATGAGATAGTCTTACTATTAAAATATGTGGGGGAGGGGCAATTGTATATACAGCTGGTACAAGTCAGTTCTCCGAAAATATCCAACAACAATGCTAATCTCCCGCTCTCTTAAAACCTTAAGGCTCATTAAAAGGCTCATAAGTAGCTGAACGCATGAAGGACATGAAATGCTCACATTTTAAACTAACGTGCTAGTTCTGCTGAGACGGTCCTGGAATAAATTATTTGCAGAGTTCAGCTTTTCTCAGTGTCCACCCAGTCGGAAGATCTTGAAGGCAATTGCTCTGGGGGGCTTAACTTTAGGTCATTTGCAGGTGTCTCGTTGGCCAATTGATAACTGATACTATTTTAAAAGAGAGTGATGAATTCTTGCTTTCTCCCTCTCCTAAAGGAAAATACCCTGCCTTCCAGCAAGCATTTATGCTTGATGGCAAAGCTAGCCACCCTATCATTCTGTGCTGTGCAGCATCATTCACTAGGGCATGTTTCCTGCTGCATGGAATGCATGGTCTCTAAAACTGAAGCTGGATGTGCTGGGGGCAGCCCAGTCTACACTGCTGTCCTCTCTAAATCTGGAGAAATAGTAAAAATTGTTTGAAATTTCTAGAAGGCTCAGTGGGACGACTTTGGCAAATTCTGTAAATGTTTGCTCCCATTATTTTCAATGCACAGCATAGACCCCAGGGCCCTGTGCATGCTGGGTAAGAGCTCCCCAGCTCAGCTACACCCCCAGCCCTCTGTAAAGGTTTAGTTTTACTTTTTACTCTCTTGGTAGTGGATGGATTTTTTTAAAAAAAGTTTTTCTTTTAATCATTTTAAATTGTTGTTATGTACGTGTCGGGGGGGGGGGGGGGGGGGGGGTATTTGCACATGAGCTCTGATGACCGAGGAGCCCGGAAGAAGGTCTTGGATTCCACCCAGGAATCCAGGAGCTGGATTTTCAGGCAGTCATCAGCACCTGACACAGGTGCTGGGAACTGAACTTGGGTACTGTCTAGAGCAATACTCACTCTTAACCAAACTGAATCTCCAACCCCTAAGAGTTGGTTGAATTGGAAAGTGAATAAAGCTGGTAAGAAAGGCAAGGATCTTGGTAAGGACTGTTTCTTGGTTAGCCCACCAAACACCTGGTTCATTCACCAGGACACAGAGCTGTGAAGAAAGCCCAGGAAATTATCCCCGTCCATGATTTTTGTCAGACTGACTGCAGTTCTGCCTTGGGCATAAAGCAAACCTCTTCCCTCTCCTCTTTTCCATGTTTCCAAAACTCTCTCCATGTTTCTAAGACCAGAGTAGAAGTAGCTTGTTTACCTGGTTGGCTCAAGTCTGTTTTCAAAGACTACAGCTCACGCAGAAGGCATAGAGCATAGGGTGTCGTCCCCAGTTGCATGGACCCGTGGTGATGAACGAGGAGCCGTCAAGTCCTTCTGATGCTTCGTGCTCACTTGTGTGTGGGTTGTGGGATGGAAAAGGCCTTGTTCTTCGAGCTCTAAAGAGCACCTGTCTCCTCAAGCCGCCAGTCTGCCCTTGACTTGGAGGAGGTATGGCTTTTAGCCCTCCTTGGTCCTCTCTTGGGCTCTGTCCTCTTCATGGTTTGTGGTTCAGGCTGTGAAAGGAGAGTTTCTCTTTGCCTGGGCACCGTTGGCAGAGGAAACTGCAGCTTGGACCTGCGTCCTCCCCACCTTCCCCCAGCACTCAGCACTTTGCCTGACGCTGAGACATCCATTAGTCATTGTTGAACAGTGAAGGACGGGCAGCGGGGTCTATCTGGTGCTGTGGTAGAGCTCTTGCCTACCCCAACCCCCACCCCCAGAATGGTGGTTTCTTTGAATTTTACATATGCTACTGCCAACCAAACCCTTACCCAACCCTCCTCCCCCGAATGCCTTGTTTCATTGCATAGAAGGGCTCCTTTGTTTTAGAAGCCTCAATCCAGTTTAGGCATTGCTTCTGCATGGCAAGGGGACGGCATTGTGTGGGACAATAGCCTTGCTGTCTCTCTACTGAGAATGGCTTCTTAAATCCGATCACATCGTCCCTGCAGAAAATACAACACAGGCGGGTTTTATTTGGGTACATATTTGGCCAGCCATACCCACGAACTGGCTCCTGATCTTCTTGCTAGCCCCCCCCCCCCGCCGCTGGCAACACCCCCCTCATTTCTTGAATATACCAGACCCTTGGCTGTCTGCTCATCCCACGCCTAGAAAGTTCTTTCACGGCGTCTTCCTGATGTGCACCTTTCTGAACTTTTCTTGGTCCTCCAAATTGACACGTCTGCAGTCAAGCCGTCCTGCCAGCCCCGCCATCTCTGTCACCTTACTCCATCCCTGGGCACTATGTGTTTTCCTGTGTCTGCATTCTGGCCTATTAGCTATCAGCTCCCCTTAATGGAACAATTCACAAATCCAGGGAAGTGGCCCGGATTTAAGAATTTGTGCTTTCAGGCCCTTGACATCCACCATCCATACGTGCAGCCCGCATGTGGCTCACGCTGTAAGGGTTCTGTGGTGAGGAAAAGGACCGCCTTGTAGAGTGGGCAGGTGATTTAGTTGCCTGTGGTCTAACTATTACTATTAGTGCTTTTTAGACCTAAACCCCTAATGTGTTTTCTCCACCCCTTTCTTTCATTTGCTTTCAGCAAGGGAAGCCATATGTGTTTGACAGAGTGCTGCCGCCCAACACAACCCAAGAGCAGGTCTACAATGCCTGTGCCAAACAGATTGTCAAAGGTAAGTGCCGCTTTGTTTCCTCCTGGGCTTTTCCCTAATGAAAACATTAAGTGACATTTGCAGCCAGGCAATCAGTGTGCCTCGACTGTAAGAAGAGGCCTGGTAATTGGAAACCCTAAATGGCTGCCTTGGCCTTGGCTTGCTGTGATTGATGGCCGTCAGTTACTGGCCTCAGTGTTTGTTTCCTTCATTTCTTTTCCTCCTCTTCAATGGGGCTATTCTGGTCTCTAAGAGCGGGAAAGGCAAGGTAAGCTGTGGTCGCAGCATTCCTGTCTTGGTCTAAAGAAACCGCAGGTACGGTGCTCCCCTGGCTTTTGAAGGAAGAAATGCGTGGCCCAGGGCTGTAGTTGTACATCGTTAGCTGTGTCTTTTATAATGACTGTGAGAATAGAGTCTTACAGGCGCAAGGCTGCTCTTGCCATCAAAGGATATTCTACAGTGTCACCAAGTCCCGTTACTGAGGTGGCCGTGGAGCTACCCGTGCGGTACAGCATGCCTTAATCTTAACGTCGTCTAACCCACTTTCATCCACCCTACCACGTCCCCAGCATTTGCTCCTCCAAACAGGTAGCCTCAGGCTTGCCTGTGTGTTTCAGAGATCAGTCCTTTTCTGCTGTGACTGGCCTTGGCCCTGGAGGATTTGTGTCAAAATAGCAGCAGGGCGATAAAGCAATTTTCACATAGCTCTCTCTTACCCTTTCAAAGGAGGAGCAGGTTGGAGCACGCTGTGGCAGGGCCTGCCATCTGGACAGAGCTGAGGGACATACATTGCCTGCTCCCCTGCTCCGCACCATCAAATCCTCGCCTTCAGATTGGAATGCCACAGCAGTTATGTGCTCAGAGGTCCTGATAACGCCACCCACATAGGCAGCCATGGATTTAAAAGACCGAAGCTTTTTTTTTTTTTTTTTTTTTTTGCTTTAGATCGGTTGTTTTCAGGAGCTGAGCTGACTAACCTATTTGAAATTCATGAAATTCAGTCCTGGTACATCTGTTAGATTAATTCTGACCCCAGACACCTGCGTGGGAGACTCCACGTCAGCATGCAATGTTCCTTGCTGAGATGTATGCTTATTCACATTCTTGTTGCAGACATCAATTAATTTTGAAGGTTTTCTCAGTGAGGTTATTTTAGAGAACCGACAAGAGAAAGTATGCCTAGATTTGAGCTGTTTTGAATGAACAGTCTTGGCCTATCGGCAGCGGTACTTCTTGTCTTTTTCCTCCTTTGCCTCGCTTTGAGTATTTTCTCTGGTTTTTCTCTGGTTTTGAGGTATGTCTTCCTTGGCTGGCTCCTACTCAGGCCCACCTCCCCCACCCTCAAGGTTTTTTTTTTTTTTATTATAGTGAGATTAATCACACGTGCCAGAATTTTCATCCCTTTCTCCCCCCAATTTCATTATCGGAAGCAAATAGCATTTACCACATGCTGTGCTAAGCATGAAGGCCGTTTAAATACATCCAGCTACCTCTGTGCCAACGTAATTAGAAATGGATGCCCTCCGTTAGGAGAAAAAGAGCCAACCCTGTGATTAACAAACAGTAGTAATCGTCTTTGGGTTTTTATGCGCTAGTGTGTGTTCTTTCGATGTTTGGATTTTTTTCTTAGTCTGAGTTGTCAGAAATAGACAGTCTCATCCCCATTAATGTGCAGGCTTTTTGTGGCTTTTCTGTATCAGCTAAAAGCTAAATTGAGAAGAAACGGTCTCTGTGAAGATATGGCCTAACCCTAGGTAACTGACTATATAGACGGTGACCTACGAAGAAACCACTTAGGAGAAGGGGGCCCAGTATAGGCCACACAGACACCTCTAGGGCCCCGTGGCCCTAATGTGGGCATATTCATTCTGATTGGACATTTGTTAAACCTTTAAAAGAATAGACTATCGTTTACTTATTCTTTTCATACATGTAAAAGTACATCGTGATTATTTGGACCCCTAACTCCTTGCTTCCACTCTCCCGAGGAACCCTCACCTCGACTTCTCCCTTCCAGTGTTCCAGAAACCTCTAACTCATCCCTTCCTCCCGTCCACCCCACGTACCTCCAACACATCTCCCTCACTACTTCCTGTCCTTTCTCCCACCCCCATTTCTCTGGACGCTGAGTCCAGTTGGCGATGCTTGTTGGAATGTTGACTCATCTTCCAACTTCACTGCGTTTAAGGGTGCGATGACCATGCCATGTCCTGAAGACAGCATGTCACCCCTCTTTCTGCCCCTCCACGATGTTTTCTGAGCCCTGGGGGTTGTGGGACTTAGATATGTATTGAAGGCTGAGCACTTCCTTGCAGAAGCGCTTATTCTCAGTCCTTCGATCCGCTATGAATCTCTACTTTAGTTATGACTGCTGCAGAGAGAAGCCAGGACTGAGGACAGCGCCATCGATGGGTCTGGGCATAGATATTTATAAGACAGTTTGACTGTATGGCTGTTGAGCAGAACAACAATAGGATGTTCCTCCTAGGACCTGTGACCTCCTGAGCTATGAGCAAAGCTAGGTTTAAAGTATCAGGCCTAAATTCCTTCCTGTGGAATAGGCCTCAAATCCAAGCCCAAACCAGTTGGTTGCTCTGATAATCTTGCTGTCATTATTGCACCAGGGGGTGAGTCCTGCCTGGCAGGTTGGTACTGTAGCATGGAGGTTGGCTGCAGGCATACCATTGATAGCTTCTCTCCCCTGGTGGCCGGCAGAGCGCCTTCTGGTACTATTAAGCCAGCCAGCAGGGAGGAAACTTCCAGGTCAGTTCCAGCTGACTTCTCTATGTTGTTCAACCGATGCGCTGGTGTTTTCAGCAATAAGGTCTTATCGTCTAGTTGTGTTGCATAACCAAGAGCAATGTCAAAGTTGTATTGTTTTCGGGGCCTCTGGAGCCTCTGGGGCCTTCCTGACCAAAACCTTGCAGTGAGATATCCCATTCTTGGTACTGAGATTTCATTTAATAAGTCACGTCCTCTAGGGGGATCACTGTCCACTAATGCAGGGTATCTGTGTTCAGATTCTGTGTGTGTGTGTGTGTGTGTGTGTGTGTGTGTTTAGTTTTTTTTTTAAACAAAAAAATACTTAAAAAGTTGTTGGTTTCCATAGAGATCCTTTGCACATCCTTACTTTTGGCTAGTTCTTCTTGCTTAGCTTCTCTCTCTTCATTTCCTATCTCCATCTCTATTTAAAACTGTAAATCCCTGGATCCTCTGTCCTCGTTTCCTTCCATCCACTCTTCCACTTAAGAGCAATTCACGATTCCTTTTCTTGGGCTGTTTCTGTCTTCCTGGGCTCTACAGAGACCTGAATGAACTTTTAAAAGTAACCTCTCAGGCTATGGTGAGAGGAAGTGATTTTCCTTCCTGTATCATCAAGGTAAAGCATAAATATATAATAAGCAAGACCTTCTTGAAGTAGATAACAGAGCATAGCTGGGTTATGTCTTGTCCTAAGAGCCCTACCTAAGTTAGGGTGGGGACAGTGTACACAGTGGACATCTTCTCTAGAGCCTTAGATGTGAATCAGATGATTCTGAAGATCGTCATAGTCCCCTGATTCATGGTGCTGTCATGGACTGGTGACCTCTACTTCTTAGTTTGTCTACACTCTAAACGACTTTGAGGACCTTTGTGCAATGGCAGAGCCCTGGCATTTCCCGCACTCCCATCTTTGGTGTGGTTTTCAAAGTGTTGACTGAAAGGCACGTTGGCATGTGGATCTCTCCATTTCTGTGGGAAGACTTCGTAAGGTTGGTGACTGTAATCGCTGTCAATAAGGCTGTAGGTGTCTAGGCATTAAACACCGTAGTTACTGGATATTATTGTTGAGGTCCTGGCAACTATATCCTAGGCCAGCAGAAGCTGCTCTGGGCACTTGCCTTCCAAAGAAACTAAATATGAATTGTCCAAATGCTAGAGAAGGTGGTTTTTCATTTTCCAGTTTTGATTTATTTAAACTACCGTTATTTATTTATACAGGTAATATTAAGTGCTTACTATGTGATTGATAAGCACTGCCAGGGCCTGGGGGTCACTGGAACATATAAGACTGTCTGCTAAGATATCTCAGCATAGAGGAAGAGGCAAATGCATGTATCATCTTCTTGCACATTATACAGGTATTATGTAGGTTAAGATGGTGTGTGCACAATGCTTGGACAACACAGAAGAGTGCCACTCTGTGCTGATTTTGGTGAGTGTGGAGAATTAAAGAAATCTTCTTGGAAATGTTGGGCGCTGAGGACTATAGATTATGGTGGAGCTGTAGTAGCAGAGCGAACGGCAAGAGCATAAAGATACAATCGGTGTGGCATGTTTGGGTAGTTCAGAGGGCGTGGCTTAACATGTTGAGTACATGATGGGAATGAGGTTGCAAAAATCAGCCCAGATCTTCTGGTGGACATGCTGGACTTTATCCTGTGGGCAGTGAGGGCAGACTGAAAGGCTTTAAGCTTAGGAAGATATACTCAGATCTATTTCATTATTCTGTACGACTCCTAAAGAATTACTTAGCTCTGTACTGTTGATTCTTCATCACTTTGCATGTTGCATCTAAAAGCTGAAGTTTATGAAGTGTGAACATTACTATTCCTACCATTTGAGAATGGAATTTGATGCTCGGAGCTAGAAGCACTTCGACCAAAGCTAGAAGAACACGTGGATCTCGATTTGTGACTGACTGTGCTTTGAGTTCCTTTCTGATAGGTCCACAATGAGCATTTAAACACACACCATCATCAAGTAATTATTTTATGAGTTGTTCCTCTTCAATCAGGCCATATGGACTTATTAACCAACAGTCCAAAATGACAGGGACAGGACCGGGTGTGGAAGGACAATAGAGGAGAAAGAATAGCCATTGTGGTCCCACAGCCTTGTGCTGGCCAGCCCTAGAGTGCGTTTCCATTCCAAAATGCAGTGCGCTTTTGCTTTGGAATGATGTCCTTCAGACAGAGTGTCACCAGGGGGTGGAAATAGCCATTCTGCTCAACAGAGAATAAAGCAAATGTGTTTATCAAGCTCAGGACTGTATGCCTTTTATTGCGACAAAGGTGTCTTTTCGTGGTCACTAGTGTATAGATCGTCACTCTATAGTCGTAGCCAACTTGAGTTGTTTGGTTGGCTGATAAGAGTCTTAGAATCCTAAACCAGACAACCTTCAGCTGTGGCCAGAAACTGTAGTGCCCCTGCAACACCACCATTTCACCTGGGTATCTAGCAGGCTAGGCAGAGCATCTTAGGGAACACTGATATGTCGGTGTGATGAACTGTCCCCAGGTTCTTACTTTAACAAAGGACTCAGTCTGCCCCAGCCATCCCTGGTCTCAGACATGAGCAGAACCGAGGACACAGGCTTGGGCTTCTAACATCTGAAGCTGGAGCTAACCAGTGTTTCTGTGTAGCGGCCCTCTCCCCTCTTCTTTGTGAAATAAGATGGCACTGGTCACCTGCAGCAGAAGCTTCTCAGTTTGCCTGGTTGTTGGATGGATACACGCTGGTCTGTGAGGTGTGGGGCTCCATGGTGTGAGGTGAGGAGATCGCATCATGCCAGACACCATCACAGAGGAAGGTTCTGTCTGGAAGAGCATTGTCAGGGTGTGGAAAGAGTCATTCTGCTCAACAGAAGCTAAGACGAGCGTGTTTCTCAGGCCCGGGAACTGCCTGCCATTTACTGCGATGAAAGAATCTCTTTGTGGGCCTTTTGGTTGGGAGTTACAGTGTGGCCCTGGAGGTGGCATGTGGCTCTGCAGAGAGCCCAGCACAAGCTAGGGTTGGAGTCTTCCCTCAGCAGATTCTGGGCTGGCACCTCTTCCAGACCCGAACTGCATTGTTCACCCATGCCTTTCTCTTGCCTGTACCCTCCACTAAACATAAAACACAGATTGAACAAACAAACACATCCTCTCAAACCTGAGAAAATAGACAGCCCTAGGTTAAAGGACCCCATCTTTTAGAATTACCTTTGAATTCAGAATTGAGTCGATAGAGGTCAACATCAGCTGCATTCAATTCTGGTCCGGGAGATGCTTCCCAAGAACGTATTAGCTGTAGGATGATTCCCGGTACTTTAAAGGCCAATCAGAGTTTGTTTTCGTGGTTTACATGTTCTCTATTTAAAACAAAGAAGAAGGTAGTTGTACTCAGTGTTGACATACTAAAGAGAGTGGATTTTCTCTGAGTACAGTCTTACGTGCCTCTCAGCACCTCGGCCCAGTGCTATGCAGGCATGTTCCTTTTTCCCTATGCTTCTATCACATTCTTATTAACGGGAGTCATGGGTCTTAATATAACTCCATTACAATAGCAACTACAAAAGATGATCTTTTTAAAAAAACATATGTGTATATATTCTTAGATATATAATATATAAAGAGTTAGATGCTCCTCTTTTCCCCTTTTCTTCTTTTACTTATTCTTCTCTCATACAACATGTCCGAACTGCAGCCTCCCCTCCCTGCACTCCTCCCAGCCCACCCGGCCCCCCCCCGCCCCGCTTCCCCTCCCCCCCCGATCCACTCCTCCTCGATTTCCCTTCAGAAAAAAAGCAGGCCTCCCAGGGATATCACCTGAACACAGGATAACCAGTTACAACAGGACTCGGTACAAACCCTCATAACAAGGCTGGACAAGGCAACCCAGTAGGAGGAAAAAGGGTCCAGAGAGCAGGGGAAAGAGGCACGGACACCCCCCACTCCCACTGTTGGGAGTCCCACAAACACCCTTAGCTACACAACCACAGCATGGATGCAGAGGCCTGGGCCTCTGTGATTGTTGCCTCTTCGGTCTCTGTGACTGAACAGGCTCTCATTTAGCTCAGGCTGTCCTCAAGCCCTCACGGAGCTAAGGATGACCTTGAAGATCTGATCCTTTCGCCTCTATTTCATCAGAACTGGGGTGACAGGCCTGTCATTACTCCTGGATTGCAGAATACCGAGGACTGAGCCCAGTGCTTTGTGACTGTTAGAGAAGTACTCTACCACGTTAGAGAAGTTCTCTACCAATCCGTCCGAGACTTGATGCTGTTCTTTTGGACATAGGACCCTGTCCGTAACCTCAGGAGAACAGGGGACAGAAACTATCTAGTTGGTACAATTGTGTATTATGCTTGGTGAGGGTGGTCCAGAGGCCTCATGGAGATGCCAGCTTCCTTCTCTCTGGCAGAGGAGGAGCTGTGGGCTGGATTTAGGCTCTGAAGCTAGTATCCTTTAGGGTGTGACCGGTTGCTAGGGCCATTGCATTTTATTACGGCAGAGAGCGGGGACACATGTGAGGACAGGAGCCGGGTTGGGAGCCGGGTGGAATCGGGAGCCCTGTGTACACGGGAGGGTAAAGTAAGAAAGGCCCGCCAGTGTGAGGAGAGGTGTTTAATTCTAATAAAGGAAGGTTTTCTGTTGGGAGCGTGACAGTGCGTGGCATTCCTCTTGCCTGCGGTTGTTTGTGTTATGAGTGTTGAAATTTAAAAGCACAGCTGAAGGATGAAGCCCCTTTCTTCGGGTCCCTCAAAGGAGTTGACATTTTCATGGAAACTGAAGCTTAAACCTCCAATCCTGAGACTGGCTTCTTCAGTGGTTTTTTTTTTTTTTTTTTTTTTTTTGGCTTTCTCCTGTTACCAAGGAAACCACTCTCATAAACCATTTCCAGAAGACTGATATGTGTGAGCATTCCCCACCCCCAGCTTGATGCAAACTCTTTTTTTTTTTTAAATGTTTGATTGATTCTTTGAGGATTATCAGGCAATCCCAATCCTGGTCATCTTCCCAGACCCTTGGTTCCACGCTCTGCCCTTGCAACCTTCCTCACAAAACAAAATTTAAGAGTAAAATCCAAACCAAACACCCCTCCCAAACAAAGCAAAACAAATGAACAAAACAGCAAATAAAAAATTGGGCATCGAAGTTGTAGCATTGCCCAGTGAGTCACACAGTATATATGTATCCTTCAGTTCATATATCCTCACTTGTAAGTGTTCGTTGCCTTGAGTGTGGGTCAAGGCCTCTGGCTTCTGCTACCCCCTTGCTACCCCACTCTGGGACGCCTCTTGGACATCCTATTGTTGTGTCGTGGAGATCCTGTAGCTTTGGGTCTGTAGGTTCGGCCCCTTCATGTGCTCTAGCAGTTCACAGATGATTTCACAGATGAGGTGGGTGTTGAGGTGGACTACCTTGTAGCCCTGCTTCTGGGCCTGGGTGGTGGCTGGGTTCGTCAGCCCGCCGTCTTTCCCTCATCGGCACCCCCCAGGCGACCTCTCCTGTGCTGCCTCAGCTAGCTCACCCAGTGACGGAAACTCTTAGAAGCTGCTAGGATTTTCTTTTTAATCTTATTTTTTGTTTCCTGTTTTTAACTCCTTGAAGGAAAATCCTTTCTTCTCTGGTCCTAAGTTATACTCTAACAATCTCAGATTAGTAAAATATGTATGCTTTACGAAAAAATCCTAGCAACCAAAACAAACAAAAACGAATAAAGCCAACATAATAAAATTTAGAGAGGGAACCATCCCTATCTGAAAGAGGTAGAGTTGACAGACTGGCACACTTTTCTCACATGATCCCAAGTAGCATCCTCTATATAGGGCACCCAGCCTTGCCTTCACTATCAACCACACTAGCATCCTCTGTGCAGGGCACCCCTCTTTGCTCTCACCATCAGCCACATTAAGAATTGCTCCCTTGGTGCAGAATGGTGGGTCAAGGATATTAATTATGCATTGTTTTTCATTCCGCGAGGGCTGTATAGATGAGGGGAAGGCAGGAGGGAATATGTTTTAATCACCGCTGCTGCTTGGAGAGAATTCCCACAGATGATCCTTCTGCAACATGAAGCAGCCCCCACCTGCTCGCCGCCTCTCAGCCCTGTGTGAAACGGAAGCCGGCCTGCCATGCTTGTGGGCTTTCACAGTGTGCTTTCTGTGTAATTAAGAGAAATTCCTGGTGTCGGTGGACCCAGGCCGTCCTGCTAGCAAGACAGTGGGAACACAGGCACTAAATCAGGCCTGCTGGTTTCCAGGCTGATTGACCGTGGGGCTCTGTTTGCAGTGTGGGTTGGTGCCTCTCCTTCCTCTAGCTCTAGTCTGTTCGGATGGGGCTCTGGTGGGATCTTCATGGGAAGCGCCTCCAAGGACCCAGATTTAAGCTGACCTAGACCAAACCTTAAGACAAGACAGTCTTTTCTACTCTTCAGAAGCCGAAAGCCTGCTTGCTTTTTCTCCTCAATGATCTCACGAGACCGACATATAGACGAAAGCTTCGAGTAGCTAAAAATGGCTCTACCCCTTCAGTCAGACAATCTGTAGAAATGCGAGTCCCGTTCTTGTTATTTGTGGGACAACAGGACTCATTTCTGGTCTTATTTCACAATCGTACTTAAAAAGCACATGCAGTTGGCACATACTGTGTAAGAATGAGACGGGCCATTTGGAAACTGTAACTGACTCACGCAACCAATACCAGTGTAGGATCAAAGTAACGAATTCATTTGACTCTATTTTGTGTTCGCAGATGTCCTGGAGGGTTACAATGGGACAATTTTTGCATATGGGCAGACTTCATCAGGAAAAACCCATACCATGGAGGTAAGTTTGTACTGTCAGTACCTGAGGGGCCGGTGCTTTCGGCAAAGCTGGAGATGTGTGTGACAGCAGAGATGAGTAGGGTGGGGAATTTTAAAGTAGCCCTGAGTAGCCGGGCTGTGGGAGAGGTAGGTGGGTCTCTGTGAGTTCAAGGCCAGCCTGGTCTACAAGGTGAGTTCCAGGAGAGCCAGGGTTTTTACACAGAGAAACTTTGCCCACATCCAGAGTGAATGTGAACTGGTATGTACCTTCTGATGTGAACTGATGTGTACCTTCTGATGTGAACTGGTGTGTACCTTCTTCTGAAAGGTGCACCCCAGGCCTGTGTAAGCACTGAAAGAGGTGGACCTGCTCACGCTTTGACTGGAGAGCTTGGTGGCTTCAGGCTGTCTCCCAAACAGGACCCTTTATTGCTTCCTTTCCTGGTTTTTGCTGGTTTTTGCTTGGGACTCCTGAAGGCCTTTGGTGCTGGCTTCTTTATCCAAAGGCTAGGCCTCCCTGATGGTGAGAAGAGGCGAGGATGGTTATTCTATGACATAATACCGAGCAAATTTGGGGAATTCAGCTTACAAGCAGCAGGGCAGGATGAATCCTTTATCCTTCAAGCTAAGGTTTTTTTTTTTCCTTTCTGAATCCCTCCTGGGAGCAGCAGTGAGGTGGCTGTTGGTTCAGCTCATGAATCATTCCTATTGAAGAGGAGATTTCAAAGGCATGAGGCTACAGGCTTCAGAGCTCGGATGCTCTGGGTGCTGAATCGAGTGTAGGGAGGGATGCTGGGGGAATCTTGCTTCTGTTGTGTTGACTTTCTTTCGCCCGTTTTGCAGAAGACAAAGTGGCTTGGAGACCGTGCAGATTAAAGAAGCATGAGGCTCATTTGCCGCCTCTCCTCCGTCAGGACTGTTGCCCCAAACATGGGTGATGTTAGCTAGGTGTCTCCACACCTCACCCCACCCCCCAACAGTACATTCCAGAAGACCTGGGCTTAGCTTCTCCTCTTTCCAGTTTGCCTCTCTGAAGGGTCTCCAGGCCCCTGACCTTGTAGGCATCGGCAAAAGTTTACTTGCTGAGGGTTCCCAGCCCCACCTTTTTTGAAGATGGAGGATGGGGGCGGGGTTGGAGGACTAAGGGAGTGGAAGAAAGAGAATTAGTAAGATGTGTGTAACATGCAAGAAAAACCCTTTACTATTTTAAATCTGCAGGCTATTAAGGAATGCTTACAAGAGAGAATTCTAAGCTCTGGGATTAATTTATCATTGAGAAATATAAAGTATTTGCTAAATGTCAGAAACTTAAAAATTGTAAACATTAAGAGAGACTGTCCTGCAAAGGGTGACTCTGGAAGACAGTGACTGGGTGTAGGTGATGGGGAGCAGGTGCGCTTCCTTCAGTGCTGGTGTGGGGACACTTTGTACAATGAGATTCTCTGGGGCCTTTGGTACCTTTCCAGTGTAAATTCAACCCTCTCCCTTGAGTGCACTCCTGGGGGACCTGAAAGGACCTGGATTCCATACTGATCTTACCTGAGTTCCCCCAATTCTGTCACCTCTGCATATTTGCCAGTTGTCCTGAGTTACTTCTTTGCTGTGAGGCCCGCCTGCAGCTGGGAGGAGCTTGCTGAATCTCTTCCCTGACACCCAGCCCCCCCCCAACCCCCTCTACTGGATCCTGTTCTTCTGTAGGTGCAGGCAGACTGGGGAAGGTTGGGGGTCTGCTGCACGGAGACCAGAGGAAAGAGGTCGCTGCCAGCTGCAGTCCCAGACTGTAGGAAACAGGAATTCAGGACCCCGGAATGCGGTTAAAGAAGAAATACTCGGCAGGGTTTGTGTCTCCTAAAAGGAGGAGTTCATATATTCAGAAATTGCACACAGTGATCTTTCAAAGGCATTCAGGAGGGATGTTAGTTCCCCGAGGGAACCGACTATCACATTTTAAAGCATTTCATTTTTTCTTAATCCCCCTATTTTGGGTCTGGCATCCAGTGGTGTTACCTTTATCTTCTGTTAAAGAGACCAACACACAATCCTCCATAAAGTTGGAAAGATCAGCTTCTCATGATGCTGCATTTAAGGGGGATTTTCAGGTAGAATAGAGCCCAGTGGCCAAGACTGGTCCTGAGGATGGTAGACCCTGTCTTACAAGAACCATGAGCTTGTCAGGAGGACATGCAGGTTCCTAGAGAGAGTGTTGAGTGCTGGCTGCAGACAGGCAGGGGGTGGGATCTGTCATTTCTGGGACTTTGTCTGATGCTAGACGGGGTGTCGCTTGGTGGTTCGTGGTGGTGCACTCGGTGGCCCTCTTGAGCGCGCCTGGGAGATGACTGGGGTCACCTTGTGGTTTTCCTTCTGTTCAGAGGGACATCTGGAGACCAGAGGAATCACGAAGTCTTTCCGGCCACCTTGTAAACCAGCCTAATGATTCCTAACGAAATCAAGAGTGAAGGGCGCTAACACATGGCGGGCCGCTTGCTTCTCATCTACAGTGTTTGAGGAAACCGTGGAAGCAGAGAGGCTGCTGGCAGAGAACAAAGGGAGTCTTGTTGAGTGGCCAGGGGACTGTGTCTTTTTCCCCCTTTGTACCTGTTCCTGGAAGGCTACATTCAGCTGGAGAAGTGTCTGAGGAGCGCCATACGGAACACAGCTATAAAGTGTTCGTCTTGTTGGCTCCCTTGGAGGAGCTACAGATAGCAGCTCACTTCTTTGTACTCCTTATCCCCGAGCCAGACTACACTTTGGCTGTCTTTGACAGGGCATGCTTGTTCTCGGTTCCTGTTTTTGCTGCTGCCAGCCCACCCCTAGGCCCACAGCCCCCGTTCAGTCTAGATTTCAATCATCCCATACAATCTGGGGGCTCCCAAGGAAGCCATCTCTTGAACCTTGGCTGCAAGGGCCTTCACGCTCACTGAATTCACCTCTGTTCATAGCCTGATGACTGCGTTGTGTCTGTGCATGCATGTTTCATCTGGAAGCAGTTAACTTGGGAACAGTAAGGTCTTTATATACACACAGACACAGACACAGGCACTCCATATATATCATGCACACTCTTTCCGTATATGTCATACACAGGCATTCTACATGCAGCACACACATCTTCCACACACATATAATGTAGACACAGACACAACACACTTATGCACTGGCAGTCCATATATTCATACATATGCTACACACACATTCCATATTCGCCACACAGAAAACATATACCATACAGATATCCTTCACATATATGTATCACAAACATATACATTATACCTCCCATATATATACATGAATGAACAAAATTTATGCCCTGGCAATGTTGATGCGTGCACGGGCAGCCCGTATATGGCGGTTCTATTGAACTTGTCTTTATTGGGTTTCACAGTCTCAGTTGATGAGGACAACTGACCAGGTCTCTTCCTCAAGACGGCAGCAGATCTCATTACAGATGGTTGTGAGCTGCCATGTGGTTGCTGGGAATTGAACTCGGAACCTTTGGAAGAACAGGCCATGCTCTTAACCACTGAGCCATCTCCACCCACAATTTATAAATCTCTCTTCACATTGCCACATAACAAATAGACACATATCTCATGTACATCATGCACTCCATATATTCCACAAGCACAGTCTCAATCGCCATATACTAGCTAATATCATACACACACTCTCCCTGCCCTGGGGGGGGGGCTAATTTTAAGTCAGGAATCAATAAAAGATTGTCTTCTGGGAGAGAACTACCTAGGAAAACACATTTGCGTCAATTATAAATGACTTTTACATTACCAGATTCTCTTCTCTGGTTGGTGGACCACTAAGAAGAAACTAGAGGGTTATCATGGATTATTCAAGAGCCCTGGAGGTTTGAGTAGAAAAGACTTTTGATTGGCTGAATGGGGCAGTGAAATCTACGATGCAGAGATTATCAGCAAAAGATTCCTATGATAAAAAGACAGATTTTCTTCCTGTTAGAGACCATGGCCATGGTCTGTTTGGTTTGTGTTTGTGAAGGACTATGTGATTTAACTGTAGTCAAGATTTGAAAGCCCGAGTCTCAGTTATGTGGTGCTGTTTTCCTACGATAACATGCTATACTAGCCTGGAGTAGAACACTGTTCTAGGACTGTTGAGGTCACTGAGCCCCACCCCAGCTTAGAGAGAGCCTGTTGGGAGCTGCGTATTAGAACACTAACGTTTGCTTAGTCTTCATGACGGTGAACACGTTATGTATTCTGTTGAACTTAAACTCTGCACTAATTTTAAGCAGCAAGTACTTTGCCAAGTCTCCTGAGTGTTAGGCCAACTCTATTTTTAGTGTGTCTAGAACCAAACTAAAACACAATGTAAATACATCATCTGACTTATTGTTCTTGATAGTCGGGGCAGCATGCCAGGATAGCCAGAGAGGAGAGTAGCCCAGCATGTCTGAATTCTGCACCCATATTGCTTTTTAGTAGAGCAGAAAGTCAGCAGTTGATGTGCCAAGAAATTATGACACCAAGCCTTTAATGCCTCTGTCCTCGTGGGCTCTTGCTTTTGCAAACGCAAATGTTGACTTCGAAGTCCCCGATGAGGGTGTTGTATGATGAAGACCAGAAGGAAAAAGGGGCTTCATTGAGGAAAACAAAGTTGGCCTCCCGGCACTGAGCAGCTGTGCCCCAGGTATCTGGGTCTAATTGGTAAAGAAAGGTTGTTGGGCATCCGAGGACTGAGGAGAAAACTGGTTTTGTGTTGTTCCTAGAGGTTTATAACTCCCAAAGTTCTTCAGGTGTTCGATCACTGCAGAACTGCAGGCTGTGTCCATGGGCAGATAGGCTGTGTCCGTGGATAGATAGGCTGTGTCCATGGGCAGATAGGCTGTGTCCATGGATAGATAGGCTGTGTCCATGGATAGATAGGCTGTGTCCATGGACACGTGGGAGAGGACTTGAGTATTCAAGAGAAGATTCTGCAGAGCTGTGTTCTGTAAGTTCACACCAAAACCATGGCTTTAAATCCTTCAGGATCCCTTTGGTAGGAATTGCAGGCTCTTGCTCTCCCACTCCCTCTCCGCATTCCCGCTAATAGGGAGGGGTCCCAGGGCTCCCCACATCCCCAGCCATTGTAGCATCTTTTGAGAGTCGTCATAGGCGGAAACAGAAATTTTGAGCATTAAAAGTGGATTTAGTAATGTTCAAAGAGAGTATCCCTCTATCCTTCTACCTGCAAGGTTAAATGAATAAAAGTAGTTATAAAAAACTAATTAAGACTGAGAATTATAGAATGGATTTTCTTGGCTGGTTCAAAAAATGATCCTGAAGAAGATACTTTGAGAGTGAGGAGTTTAGGAATTTTTGAACAATGATTAATTATCTACTCTCACGGTGATTTTATTCAGGATTAGTTTACCTGGGCGTGGTAGTTCTGAACAATTCATAAATATTACAAGTTAAGCTAAAGCATGTCCATTTCCTCTCCCATCTTCTTCCTTTTCACCCTCTCATTGCCTGTGTGCTTTGGATTTGCAAGGGTGGACTGACAGGCACAGCCAGGACAGCCCTCTGCTGGATACAAAGGGGAACACATTGTGTACTCAGGTGGATTCCCCAGGGTGCTTCCTGTTTTGTAGCCAGGACTAATACCCATTTTAAACCCTCCCTACCAATCATTCTACAAACTTCTGTTTGTTGTACAGTACCCAAGCAAAACATGACCCACAAGATCAACTTGGATTTTACAGCTGAAACAACATTATTTGAGAAATGAAGACTCCCGTTCCTCTCCCATGTATTTTCCCAACACTCTTTTGACTGCCGGTGTTTGTATTTTTCATTCACAGGGAAAGTTGCATGATCCTCAACTGATGGGTATCATTCCGAGGATCGCACATGATATTTTTGATCATATCTATTCTATGGATGAGAATCTGGAGTTTCACATCAAGGTAAGAGTTTTTCACTAAGAACAAGACAGGACTCTAGGTCCTAAGTCACGTTTCTCAGTCTTCTTCCTTTCAAATAGGTATGAAAGATGGTCTCTTTTAATTCAAGTATCATTCTGTGGGAAGCTGACCCTACTTGTACCGTTAATGACTTAGGTCAGTACCAAGCTTTTGGAATGGTTTGCTTGAAAGAGCAACATAAAGAAGGCACAAGCCCCCTCCAGTATGGAATCATCTTACTCATCACCTGGGCTCTCCCCATTACCCTATGAATGTCTGGAGATAGGCCAGGAATATGTCTCTGTGTGGGTTAGGACACCATTCCCCAATGTGAAGTCCATGGAACGCAATCCCTTGTGTTTCCAATTGGGGAGCTGGCAGAGAAAAGTATGGCCAAAGAAACTCAAAAAATACCTTGTTGACCAGTGCTCAACTTAGTACAAGTTCACATGCTTTCTTGAATCGTGTGCTCTCAAAGGGAATGCGCACTCCCCACCCGACTGTATAGTGACTCATTCATCCCTCTTTGAGAAGAGGTGGAAGGAAATTCTCCAGCCCCCTTCTCTTTCTCCTTGTTATTATTTTATTTTAACCCAGAACCACTAATCTTGCTCACGTTTGAATTGAAAGGGGGATTCTATTATCATAGCCATTAAATCGTAAAATTTGAACTTTGTAAATTCCGGAAGGGTTTCCTGTTTAAGAAGAGAGAGATGTCATAAGGTAGAGACTGTGTGGCTGGTTGGGGCAGGCTGTGGAGATCAGGGCATTCCAACCCTGGGTTTCCCTTTCTTTTTAAAATTAAAAAAAAAATGAGATGTAGTTCAGATGGCAAAAAATTAATGATTTATAAACATAATTTTGTGGAGTTTAGTATATTCTCCAAACTGTACACTCTTCATCCATATCTAAAGCTTTACTATTTCCTCCACCCCTGAGGAAACTGGACCTTCTCTCCCTTCTCTTCAGCACTTTCATTTGCCTCTCTCTTTTTGCTTGGGGGTGTCTTGGGCAGCGTGGCAGCCCCTTGTTTCTCCCAGGAAGGCGCCCCAACCTAGAACAGTCCCTGCCCTGCTTTTGTGTGCCCAGATACACACGGTGTCTGGGTCTCCATCTGTGTGACCAGATGTGTTGAAGGACAGGGAAGGGAGCCAGTTCTAAGGAGGCTTAGAGCTGAGTGGATCAGCGGTCCTGAAAGCTTGAACATCAGTCCGCACGACCATCCAATGGGTTAGTCACGAGGAAGCTGAAGCTCAAACCCAGACAGAGGATCCAAATAAACCCTGGCACCAAACTGATACTCACCATCTATTTCGTTGTATGGGAGTTTTTTCTGGCCTGGTGAGGTGGCTCAGTGGGTAAGGCATTTGCTGCCAAGCCTGACAGTCCAAGTTGAATACCTGGGCACCGGGCGTGGTGGAAGAGAACTGACTCCCCCAGGTCATTCTCCACGCGTGCCCCGGGGCTCGGCCCTTCCCACCCCCACACGAAATAAACAAATGCCTGCAGTAATCAAACACTTTCCGACCTCTCCCCTTATTTATTTCTACAACAAATTGTTCCTGAATTTACATTTTAAAAGGCCACTGCTGGCTGTTCGCCCAATTATGAATTACATCCCTCGCATCACGGGTGCGTGCACTGGTGAAAGCTTGCTTCTCCCGCTAGCAGGCTTCCTCGTCTGAGGCTACAGAGCTTTGATGGGCTCAAGATTTAGAGGCTTAGTGCCTCTTAAAGGCTGTTTACGCCGACACCCTTTATACCACTGCAGAGGTCTTAAGTGATAATCCTGAATAAGATGTTAAACCAATTACCGTCCTGGAACTAGTGTCTTGTGTCAGAATCTTATTACGATTAAGAGCGGTGCTGGCTTCGAATGGTGGGGGAGGGGAAGAATAGTTCCTCGTCTCTAGAGTGAAATCTCACGGCACAGGTTCCCATTGTGCATTTCGTGGTTGGTCTTGCTTTCCTATTAATAAGAATTGTCAGTGGATAACTTACTAGCCATGCAGAATCTGCGTTCTGAACTTACATGCTAACAGGCTAAACCAAAAGAGGCCCGATGAAGGCAGGATTGGAAATCTGCTCCTTAATGCATCCCACAAAGGTTCTGAATGTTATTTCGGATCATGCTGTTGTTCACCACCAAGCAATGTCTATTCGTTTTCCTTCCGTCTGGTCTCACAAGGCATTTGAAATAACAAAATAATTTTTGACACCTCACAAAAGCAGAAATTAATATTCAGAATTTGATTTTAACTTGTATTAAATATGAATAGGAATTTAATTGCCAGACTTGGCAGTGCATGGTTTTTTAGATGTAATTAATTTTTTTTCTGTAATTTGTCGAAGTAAAAATACATGCTTAGGATCTCCAAAGTTGAGGGAGACTATAATCAAAATGCATTGTACAAAGGTATAAAAAATATTAAATTAAAAAAAAAATTCAGAGGTAGTGGGAAATCTTAGGGGCAGTAGGACAATCAGGAACTTGAATAGGTTGGCACCAGAATGGGGTGCCAAGGAGGCCTGGTTAGAGATGAATACATTGGGCTTTGAGGACTGGACCCTGGGGAATGTGGCAACTTGAAAGATTAGAGAGAACAGTTAGGGCTGGCTTCGCTCAGTCGTTCAGTGCAATTGTGCCTTGCATGTGCGAGGCCCCGGGTTTAAGCCCGGAAGAAAACCTCTAGACAGCCAGAGCAAATTAACAAAAACAAAGAACTGGGAGGACAGAGCGGGGAGCCTTCTGCCTGCCAGGAGTGTCCAGAAGAGACGGAATGAGGAGTTGGGCAGATGAACAGGTAGGAGTTATTACAGGGACAGGTACCCGGGAGCAGGCACCACAATGCCCAGCTGCTGCTTGTAGATTTCAAAGCAAGGATCTCAAAGCTACCAGGAACTGGGAGGTTCCAGATGGCGGCACACAAGAGATAATGAGCCAGGGCTAAGCTGCGAGAGACATTAGTGCCAGGGCCAAGGAGTTCCCCAAAGTAGAGGTAGGGTTTGTCTAGTCCTGAAGTTTCACCTGGGTAGGTAGTGCCCAGATTTCCAGCGGTCATAATCATGGCTGTCCTAACGCTAGGATATATCCTGAGAACTGTAAGATAATTTTATCATTTTGTGGACATCATAGATAACTTAAGTCAAACAAGGAATCTGTGCTCTCACTAGACAGTGTGATTATGGGACTGCTATCATACATACAGTGGCTTGTTTAATGCTATTATGTAGCCCATGTCTATATTTTTCTTTTGTCCATTCTCTTATTTGTATTTCAAAGATGCTTATGGATTTGGGGGGAAGTTTATCTGAGAGGAAAGAGTCAGGTGCAAACAGTGTGCAAAATCCAGGAGAGATTTTTTTTAACATCTTAAAGGCGAACGGCTTCATTTGCTGGATCAGGAAATTGAGGCTATCTGTGCATTAAATTCATTAGAACTCATTCTCAGTTTAAGCATTTTATTACTTCAGCTATCAGACGAATCATCTGGGAATTTAGAAGCCAATTTCTGGATTCTAGCATCTGCGATGCTGCTCTAGTACCATTGTGGGCTCTCTAGTACAGGGCTCTCCAGTTCTGTAGCGATATTGATGGATTTGGGTTTGGGCTAAGGTTTGAGAATAATTATCTAGAAGGCTTCCTTTTCCTAAAAAGGTGTAATCACCCTTTGTTTGTTTTTGGTTTTTGAGAAGGAGTATCATTCTGCAGTCCTGGCTGGCCGTAGGTTCATGACAGTCCTCTTGCTCAGCCCTCTGACCTCGGATGATAGGCGTAAGCCACCGCACCTGGTCAGTCATCTTCACTAAGCCACATCTGTCCCAATCCATCAAAGACTCCCATCCTGGCTGCCTTCTGCCACACTCTCCCAGGTGTCTTCTGAGCCCCTGGAGTCCCAAGCATCCTTAGTGTCTCCCTGCTTCCTTCACATTAACCTGGAAGCTGTGTTCCCCTGGGTTGATGAGGCCGTGGCATCATGCAGTTGCTTAAGGTCTAGATGACCATCACTGGTTTAGAATGCCTTCTCTTGTGACTGTTACCACGCATGGCATTATTGGTGTTCAGCTAAGGTGAAACTTGGGTCCTCTTGTAAGAAGCTGTCTAGCACTTGAGTGGAGTCCTGAGGAGCTTGAGAGTGGTCCATGTTTGATATATGGGTAGTCACAATGACCCGGCAGGAGGAGCACACGAGAGGGGCTGCAGTTCTATGCTCAGGGCTCTGAGGCTCACTTGGTCCCCACCTTTTCAACCACAGCAAAAGCTTTCATGAGTTTAGTAGTGATATTTTTGAAACGTGGTACAATATTTCTATTCCAATTTCAATTTTTCTTTACCTAGGTTTCCTATTTTGAGATCTACTTGGACAAAATCAGGGACTTGCTTGACGGTAAGCTGCCCCAGAATGTGGCCATGGTGTGCGCTCTGTAATCGAAACCCAGGGGGTTGAGATGAGTTAGGGCACTTCTGCCCAGGCAGCTGATGAGAATTTAAAGAGATGTTTGCCTTTGGGCTCTGTGCTCTTCTCAGCTTGAACTTGCAAATTATGAACGGATTAGACTTGCCTGTCTTCTTTAAGCGTGGCTGTTCTTCCTGCAGTACAGGGTTTTAAACTTTCCTTTTCTTCTTTGCATGCCATCGGTTTTTGTCACGACAGTGTCCAAGACCAACTTGGCTGTCCATGAAGATAAAAACAGAGTCCCCTATGTAAAGGTATGAGAAGGGTTGGGGGTGATGCCACTAACTTCTTTCTCTCTTGTGACTGTCCAAATATTTATTACATGAGTGCTATAAAGAGTACCTAAAAGACATTGTTAACCCTGAGCCTTATCTATAATATTGATCTGCTACAAAAACATTCAGTTGCTTCATCTGTAGCTTTCCTATATGTAAATTATTTTTATTATGTTTTTGTGCTGGGATCTAATCCAGTGCTTCGTGTATAAGCTATGAGCTATTATACCCAGACTTCTTTAGGAAAACTATTATCTAAATAGTATTATTTAGTATTGCTTATCTTAAAGAGGTTTGGGGATTGAATGCAATGGTTTATGATTTGTACTTCATAGAAGTAGCATCCTGAGCACTCTGATGATGTCTGAAATGGGAAAGAGGAAGTCCGTTCACATTTCTTCTCCTCTCATAGATTTTTCTCCTTTTGTTTTCTATCCTCTGAAAGTCTTGCTGTAGGGTATGAACACAGCTTAAAAAGCGTTTCCTCCGCTTTATATCTCGGGGCCAGCTTTCTGGTTTCTAGTTTCCCCGGGGTTAGCCAGCTCCCACTTCTCTTTAATGTAGAATCCAAGCCCCAGGCAAGGCGGAAACACAGTCGCAGGCTCGCACCTGTCCTGTTTATCTGTGCCTTTAGGAAAAAAAAAGAGGGTGGGAGCTGCTTTAAAATACTGTTGTTTTTCAACTGTTGTAGTGGCCAACCTGACCTACTTCTGACTCTTGCAGGGGTGCACGGAGAGGTTTGTGTCAAGCCCCGAGGAGGTCATGGATGTGATAGATGAGGGCAAAGCAAACCGACATGTGGCCGTGACGAGTAAGTGCGGTGATGTTCGTGCAGTCACGTGGAATCCCAGTAGCTGCCCTCTGTGCGGGACGGCTGGGTGATGAGGTACACGTGCTGTTTGCAGGGGAAGGCAGCATAGAGCTATGAGCAGATGGACCCCGGCCCATGTGCAGTGGGAGTGTGTGCCGTACTCCGAGGTCTTGAAGTGTTGGGTGAGATTCCTTGGGCTCTGATAACAGGTTTAAAAAAAAAAAAAATCTGAGCTAATAAATTCGTGTCCAACTCAAGGAAAAACTACTGGGCTTCTTCCTCTGTAGACGGAGAATAAATGCAAAGGGGGAGTCAGAATAGAGCTGGCAGCTTCCAGGAAATCCCTGCACCACAGGCTCACAGCAGACATGCTCGCAGAAGCTAACGTGCTGGGCAACACCTGCGCCTGTGTCACGTGTCCAGGAGCTGCACATGCGTATTGGAGCAGCTGCGGCTCTTTTAAAGAGACTAGGGCTATCCTTTCTAGAGGGATGTGGACCAAGAAGTATAAGCTCACAGAGAGCTGAAAGAACTAAGAATTTCTAGTTTGGAGAAGTTAAAACAAAACAAAACAAAACAAACAAACAAAAAAACAGGAGAGGATGTGGGCAGTGCAGTGCATCAGTGTCTGCCTGGGTTCTGATGCTGAGAAAATGTGGTGTCCGCTGAGGCTAGGGAGGGAGGCTTGACAGCTGCCCCAGGTGAAGCCTGCTGCCAAGGAAGGGAGCGAAGTTACTGACCAGAAGAGAGTCTAGCTGGGCGGTGGTGGTGCATGTCTTTAATCCTAGCACTCAGGAGGCAGAGGCAGGTGGATCTCTGTGAGTTCGAGGCCAGCCTGGTGTATAAGAGCTAGTTCCAGGACAGGCTCCAATGCTACAGAGAAACCCTGTCTTGAAATACCAAGAGAAAGAGAGAGAGAGAGAGAGAGAGAGAGAGAGAGAGAGAGAGAGAGAGAGAGAGAGAGAGAGAGATCCTAGCTGTAGTAGAGGACTGATCTAGACTCTTCTAGCAGCTGGTGTAAGGCTTCTCCGTGGACGGGCTCCAGGTCTGTGATCCAGAACTAAAATTCTTAGCCTCTTCTCTTCCCCGTAGCTTGTCAGATGACACTCATGGATGGGGCACTTTTCAGAGCTGACCTAGGCTTGCATGCTGTCTAGGAAAACTCTGATTCTTTCTGTTCTGCCTGAAACTTGTGTGGCCACAAGGAAACTTTCTCGCTGTTTCTTAAGCTGTCAGGCATGAATCAGTCACAGTGTAGCAGCATTGGCTGGCAGCTTCAGAGCCGAGGGCCCACCACGTTTCTAGTGTTGCTAGAGTTCTGTCAAGTTTTTCCCGAGTGCGTGTGTGCTCATGCGTGCCTGTGTATAGATGTACATGTGGAAGTTAGGAGACAGCTTGAGGGAGTGGCTTCTCCCTGACATGTGGGCCCTGGAAACTGAACTCAGACATCAGACTTGACAGCAAGCATCTTTTCCCACTGAGTCATCCCGTCAGCCCCCGTTTCTATTTCAGTGCGGCAAGTATATTTAACAGTGCTCTGTTGTTGGGTCCATTTGCATTGTGGGCAACATCCTACCATCTGTCTCCACGGCTCCCAATCTTCCCCAGCGGAGACCTGAACTCGGGTTCTCACGCCAGTGCAGTGGGAGCTTTACTATCTGTCCATCTCCACAGCTCCCATTTTACTTTTCGAGATCAGCTTGACTATTCAGGATGTTGTGCGAATCTGTATGAATTGTAAAATTTTAGAATCGATTCTTCTATTTCTGTATACAATAATCATTGAGATTGAGTTGCATTGCGTAATTTTGCCTAATGTTTACATCTGTTCTTTACGTATATCCATGTGTGGTGTATGATAGCAGGATCACATGTGGGCAGGTCCATGTGCATGGTGTCTGTGTGTGTGTGTGTGTAGGCCTGAAGTTGATGTTGCTCAATCCTAACATTGTCAGTTTCTTGAGGCAGCCTCTCTCACTGACACAGAACTTACCAGTGTAGCTAGTCTAACTAGCTAACTTGCTCTGCCCTGATCTGTTTCTGCCTTCCAGGGCTAGGATTGCAGATGGCTGCCAGGCCTGCCCAGCTTACATGGGTTCTGGGACTCCACACTCACGCTCCCACAGCAAAACTTTATCTTTTAAAGCCGTCTCCTCAACCCCGATTTTGATGCTTAACACTCTTTAATCTTTTAATAAATTATCATGGGACTCTATTTCCATTATTCTGTATCTGTTTTAACATCTTTTTGGGTTCTTAGGTTTTTGTTTTTGTTTGTTTCTAGACAGTTTTGGACCCTGTCCTGGAACTAACTCTTGTAGACCAGGCTGGCCTCAAACTCACAGAAATCTGTCTGCCTCTGCCTCCCAAGCGCTGGAATTAAAGGCGCGCGCCACCATCGTCCAGCTGTTTTAATATCTGTAAGCAACATTTTGTAGCTTTTGTCTAAAAACCCATCATTTTCTTTAAGTTTATTCTTAAGTATTTTATCTTTTCTATTGCTATCATAAATAGATTATTGTCTTAATATTAATATTTCAGGTCAGGCATATAGAAACATAAATGCCCTTGACATGTTGACTTTGTAGCATGCAATGTTGCTAAATTTGTTTGTTATTTGTGACTTTTGGGGTGGGGGTTTATAGACAGAGATTCTCAGTGTAGCCCTGGAACTCACTCTGTAGACCAGGTTGTCCTTGAACTCAGAGACCCACCTGCTTCTACTTCCCCGGTGCTGGGGTTAAAGGCCCAGCATTTGGAATTTTTAAAACGGTATCCTCAAAATTTTTAGGAACAATCTGATAAGATGTTTTTTTGAGAGATGACAAAAGTTGAAGGGGACATTTGTGGGCTTTGGTGGAAACGGTACCCTGACCTAATAAAGCACATTTAATCCCTGAGGCCTCTTTGTGAGTTATAGAGTTGTGTGTCTTAATCTTCCTTTAAGTTTGTGTCAGACCTGGTAATACAGGCTATACATATGAGTAGGAAGAACTGTATCAGACACTACACCATGGTACAGTCTGAGGGTTTCCATGGGACCGTCAGGGAAGCTGTGAGCTTCTTGGTGAGTGAGGCTAGGGCATCATATGGGCTACAGGGCTTCAGGCAGACCCTGGGCATCTGTTATCTTAAACTGCTCACTAAAAAGGTTAGGTTAATTCCTTTGTTACTTGAAGACGTTGTAAATCTATCATCTCTGGAATGAGTGTCTTTTTTTTCTTTTTCTGTTCTGAAAGAAACAACAGTGGCCCCCATACACTCTGAAATGAGCTGCCCTGCCCGCAGAGAACTGCCACCGTGGGCCATGACTGGCTGTGGCTTAGAGCGCGGAGGTTGGCTACCTCGGCTCACGTGCTCTCTGTAGAGCAGTCACCCATTTTTCATTTCAGACATGAATGAACACAGCTCGAGGAGTCACAGCATCTTCCTGATTAACATTAAACAAGAGAACGTGGAGACGGAGAAAAAACTCAGTGGGAAGCTGTATTTGGTTGATTTGGCTGGGAGTGAAAAGGTAATTGGTTCTTATTTATATTATCTATAATTTCCCCCTGCTATTTGCTCAAGTGTACAGTTGTATAATTTTTGTGCCCTTTACTCCCTGTTCTTTTTAAAGAGATTTAAAATGTTGAGGGACGCAACTGTCAAGTTTTTCCCATTTCCTTTTCAGGTTCAAAAATTCATTTGTGCTTAGTAGGACCTGTGCGTTCAGCAAGTGTTAGTATGACTTCACCTAGCAAGGCAGCCGCTCAGAGGTGGGAGGGACACTCTTAGGATGGGGGAGCCGAGTGTTGTATGGACTCCAGTGGGCTAGGAAGGGCTCTGCCACTGGAGCATGGTGGCCCTGCCTCTGCAGCTTTGCCTGCTAAGGAAAAGTCTGGAATCTGGGCCCGCCCAGTGTTGCGGTTCTACTGGGAGCAGGTCTGAAGCCACAGTCCCTATGGTTCCTCCCGGTTAGGAAGCTTTCTGTGGTTTTGTACAGGTTTTACACACCTGTAGTCAATTCTGTGTCCCCAGGAACTGGCTAAGACCACATCCACAATCACCATCTTCCCCTTGCAGCCTCCTCTGCAGCCCCAGGGGCTGGTCCCACTGCCACACTCTGGCAGGACACAACCCCTTTAGACATCATAGAGCTAGCCCCCATGCACAATGCCTCTCCCTGCACTCATCTGTGACATCACCTGGATGTCCTTCTCAGGCTCCCTGCTGTCCAGGTGGCTGCCACTTGCTGCCAGTCTCACACTGCTAAGTTCCTGAACGCTAGCCATGGCCACGAATATCCATGTAAGTCATGGCTGTTTGAATTGCCCTCGAATTTGCCTTGTCCCAATGAGAAAAACATCGGATATTCCTGGTTGGGCATCTCAAATGTTCTGTGTGTGAGCTGGTCATGTTCCCAGTCCCTCGCCAGGATGAAGGGAGCATCGGTCAGCTCTATCCTGACCGCTAACTTGACTGCGGTGTCCGGCACAGGCCCATGCAGAGAGTCACGTGGAGATGCGTTATTTCAGACTGAAATACCCCTGAGAATGGCCTCCTGCTGGTGGCTGGCGCTTCTTCCAATGGCACTTATGAGATATTTCAAGTGTCCCTCCTGTAGTTGTGTTGGTTCCTCTGTTTTCTTTTTCCCTAGATGACTCCGTATGAGTGGACTGTCTTAAGAACAGAGCTCTGGGCTTTCGTTCCCACCACTCCACAGGGCCGTCCTTCTCTTAGGTTGGCCAAGTGACATCTCTGGAGCTCATTGTCCTTGCCTGCCAACGGAAGGTGATAGATAGCCCCTACTCTGAATATTTCATGGAGTTAAGATGCTCAAATTAGAGATCATCTAAAAACTCCTGCAATAGGCCGGTGCTTTTTGCGGCCCATCACTCCGTGATGTCTCTGTCTGCGAGCAAGCTGCCCTCTGCAGTTCCAGGATAGAAGAAGTCTGTCCTATTTTCAGAGGTCCCCCCGCCATAAGCATATAAGCATTTCCCTATGTCACTGGAGGGAGGGGCTCTCCTTCAATATGTATTTGAAGTCCATCTTTGTCCAGTTTAAAGTAATTTCTTCACTTTCATTTTTTATTTTATTTTATTTATTTATTTATTGAGAGCAACTGTCCACCCTGTAGCTTTTGCCTGGGCAGCCAGGACAAATCTTACTGAGTCTCTCTCCTTCTTAAGAGAAAGAAAAAAAATGGCAGGTTTTATAAACCCCTCTGCCTAGAGTAAATGCTGTAAATGTGAGGTATCTGGACTAATGCAGTAGAGGAGGCAATGTGTGCGGAGGGCTGTAGGAGAAAACCAAATTTATAGTGCAGCGCACATCCCCTTGTCTTTTCAAACCTCCCTACTAATTTTTCACATTTGAGATATCCTCCCCTCCCTCCCTGAGTTCCCCCCTCGCTCCCTCCTTGCTCCAGGAGCAAGCAGAGAAGGAATAGAATCAGAGCACTAATTTCTCTCCGGAAATTGGGCTCGCTAGTGTTTTCCTCCCTGTGCCCCATGGACCCCGTCTGACTGGGAGGCTGTGGTTTAGTCCCCCCGGACCCAGCTCACCGCGGTAACGGTACTCCAGCAGCCTGGTTTTCTTGGATGGATGTCCCCCGGGGAAGTATCTACTGTTCTCCCACTTGGGGCATTTCAGCCATTCCATTAAAACTCAATTGAGAGGAAAATGACAGCGGGAGAGAGCGAATCCTCAGCTTCAGGCTCCAGGGACGGCAGGATCGCTGTGGTTCTTTCCTGGAGGGTCTGCCTGCTGTCCCGTCACGAGTTTGCATTTTCTGCTCTCTGTTGTCCTGGCCTCACTGCTGTTTCTGTCCTCTGGTAGGTCAGCAAAACTGGTGCCGAGGGAGCTGTTCTCGATGAAGCTAAAAATATCAACAAGTCTTTGTCTGCTCTTGGAAATGTGATCTCCGCCTTGGCAGAAGGGACAGTAAGTAATCCTGTCGCCATCTATTAAATAGTTTTATGGGAAGCTGCCTTTGGGGTTTATGTATTCTCTTCGCCACATATCCCAGCCATTCATCTGTTTTCCTCTTTGGAAGGGAGCAGAGGGATTCCTGGCTGGGGCGCTTGTTGCCGGGAGATCTACTCCACTAGAAATTGTGAACAGTGATGCTCACTTCCAGTGATATGGGTCACAGAATGAACTTTTCTTGGCAAGAGCCAAAGACCTGGCTGCAAATTCTTATTCCTCGTGTTTCTAAGTTTGGCCCGCTTGCTTCTGTAGCTCTTCTTTGAACGGGCTGTCAAAACCGATACTCCTTCTTTTCTTAAATAGAAAACACACGTGCCATACCGGGACAGCAAGATGACTCGGATTCTCCAGGACTCTCTGGGTGGGAACTGCAGAACCACAATTGTCATTTGCTGCTCTCCTTCAGTCTTCAATGAAGCCGAGACCAAGTCTACGCTGATGTTTGGACAGAGGTGCGTGCGGGGTCTCAGAACCCATGCTCTGAACTAGGTTATGTCTTAGGTGTGGATGGCTTGGGGCAATGGTCAGAGGGGCAAATAATTATTACACTGCTTCTAGCAGATGATCTGTAGACTCGAGGCATTATTGACTGAGGCCACAGGATTGTGTTTTCGGTAGTGGTCAGGAATGTGCCTGTTGGAAGAATGATGTTGAATGAAACAAAACAAAACACCCAACTCGTTGATACAATAGCTTTTGTTCTTCATGGACTTGATGCTTAGTCTTTAGCCCTACATAATTTCACCTACATAAATCTGAAGGTTGATAACTATCTTTACATCTGAAATCTGGGATCCATTGCAAAGTCGTTCATAAAAACAATCATAAACTTAGGTAAAGGCCGAGGAGATGCAAGAATAATGGAGGAAAGAAAACAGATGCATTAACTCCGAGGGTAGGAGGCGTGGGGTGTATGGGGGAAAAGGGTGGAGGATGACCACCTTCTCGCTGTTTGAAAGGCCTGAGTCGACATGCCCTGCCTCTGTGGACTTCAGGTGGGCAAGGCTGAAGGGTTTGGTAAGGAAAGCAATCTTCCCATGTGTGGGTGGGTTCTGACCTTCCTTGCCTTTCTTAACACACTCTTTTTTGCCTACCATGTCCTGCTGCCCACAGCTGACCTTCAGTCTTGTTTACTTAGATTGCCAGACCCCGTCTTCTCAGCTGTGCTTTTGGGGGGGTTGGTTGCCTAAGCCTTTGGTGTTGAGGTTTTGGATGAACTGAGTATCTTTGGTGCGCACTGGGCCGAGCCGGAACAGATGTGGACTCGCCTACCTGTTTTGCTCAATACTAGACAACTGCTGAGCTGTGTCTGTGGCCCTTACTGCCTTGGTGTTAGTGGGGCTCCTGGTGCTCCCCTGCTTGAATCCTGGGAGTATGTGTCGAATGATTATGCCCAGGAAGTAGTTTCAGATGGGCAGATGGGGTGGGCATTCTCTATGGGAAGTTGTTACGTGTTTGCACGGCATCACATCCTGGTCTTTTCCTGAACCTCAACAGAACACAGGATTATTCCGCTGTGGCACCTGTGGCCTCTCTAAACAATAACTGTTGAAATGTTGTAGAACTGATCTATCCTTTTAACAGGGTTTGGCTTCTTTGCCTCCTCCAAAATGACTTCCTTGATTAGGCTAACGTTTGAGGCAGTGGCATGGCAGTCGGATGACACCTTTGTTTCCTGGCCATTGAGCCATTCTCTCCTTGACTTCTCTGAGCGTCACCTCTCTTGGCCATTGAGATGAAGTGGTTCCTTGCAAGAATTTCTGGGAGGTGATTGAGCTTCTGGTGTTATCACTTTGGCAACTTCTGGAACAGAGAGAGGAGGTTACTGATTTCAAGCTCACCTTCTTCGACCTTAAAACACCAGCAGTATTGAGAGTTAGAAGGTCATGACTAAGACTAGCCTGGAAATAAGGAACAGGCTTGTGATATAAGGGACAGATTTGAATGAAATAGAATTTCACTTCTGGAACTAATGGGTAAAGAAGTACTATAGGTGATTTAGGATTCTGGGAAATAAGATGCAACATCAAATATGTTTCCAGATGAAATAGTTGGTTAGACGGCAGACAATACATTTGCCATTGGCATCTGCTTTCCAGCATGGGGAGTATGCAGTGGGTGATTAATAAGTATATGCTGAACAAGACGGCAAGTGAGCCTCAAGTTCATGGTGCAGGGTCCTTGCTGGGCTGGGCCATCTCTGTCCCACTGATCTGTCATTGACCTGGATCTAGTGATCAGGAATATGTGATAGTTTGTTCCTTTTCTCTCTATCCACATATTAAGTGGCCCTGTAAGGATAGGGGATTTTTCTGTGGGCCTTTTATCTGCTTTATTAACTGTATTCATTGTACCCAATTACACAGCATACATGGGCCCAAACACCAGGTTGGATATGGGATCTGATCGCTAATAAGATTGAACTCAGAAACTCTGAACTCAGAAAAGCTGCCGGGTGTGTCCCAAGAGTCAGATAGCCAGTGTTCATTTTGCTCTTGTTGAAGAACCTTGAGCAGCGTAAGTTCTGTGATTCTCTCAAGGACGCAAGGGAAGTATGTATTTTTCCTGGACTGGATAAACAACAGCATGTGCTTTGAAATTTCACAGAGGCAACAGGATCTACAGGTGCCTGAGGGTACCCTGCAAAGAGCCTAGCCAGCCTTCCTTAAGATTCTAAGTTTAGTACTGAATTCAGACAAAAAATCCACGCTGTCAGGTCTTATTTGATCAAGCTTGTCCCTTTAGCCCTCTGAGTGCCCAGCACTCTGCCAGTGCAGAGGCAGACAATTCTACCTGTGTGTCAGAGAGCACCAGGTAGTCCAGATACCTGAAACTCAAACGCCACATTAAAACATTTTGTGAATTTTTTTTTTGTTTCTAGACTCCAGAATTTTATTCTTTAGATTTTAATTACTCTTTCATGGTATTTTTCTCACATTTTTCAAAAAAAAAAAAGATATTTGTAACTTTCAGATGTGTGAACTCAAATCTCTAAGTCTGTTTAACGTGCCTTGATTTGGTTGGGGGTTGGGTTAAGGAAAGAGAGCCTTGAGGGACACACAAATCAGTACAGGAAGGCCTGAGTCAGTGTACCTTGAGCCAGCACGGATAATTCCGTCTGTTTGCATGTTGAATGTGAACGGGGATTGATACTTCGAGAAGAGTCATGGTCTTTGTGTCCTGGTGTGCGCTGCTATCAAAGAGAAACCATGCCATCGTTTGAATGAAGCTGCCTGCCATAACGACAGCTGGGTTCTGCAGAGACCGAATAGCGTCCATGTAAAATTCATGGCACAGGAGCGCGTGAACAAATTACCCGCAGAGACAGAGCGAGCAGTTTGGCTAAGGGACTCACTTCGGTGCACCCGACATAAACCAAGAATTAACTCACCTCTGCTGGTGAGCCTGCTGCCGGGGCACCGGTGGGAAATGGAAGCTCTTACAGGAAGAGATACTGTGTGGTGTGAGTTTAACTAAAGGCCAGCTCGTCCCTGGTCACCGGGGTTTTCATCCGTCCTCACTGACTGGCCCTTTTCCCCAGAAGCAGGGTGCTTTGGAGCAGATGTGTGTTCTGAGGAAAGTGTAGGTGTTGACGCAGCAGCTGAGACCCAGGGCAGATCGGAAGTTGCGAAGTGATGTTAATTTCACACCCAAGTACATGACTAGGCTGTTTACTCAAACACCGATCTAGCTATTGCTCTGACAGTATTTTTTTAGATGGTTAATGGTTGTACCCACCTGACCAAGTCAAGTAGATGACCCCGGGCATGGCCGTCCTCTGACCATTCGGAGGCCTTGAAAAGCAAAACCTGGGGTTTCCCAGGAAGGATCGAAGGCCAGAATACACACTTGCACCTGCATTTCCAGCTGGCAGCTTGGGCCTGACTTAGCTTTGATGGCCCCCACAGACATATGAGCCTGTTTCCTTAGAAAACTAAAAGAAGAATTGGTTGTGTGTCTGTTGGGGTCTATAGCCTTGTCTCTCTCTGTTTTCTTGATAACCCTGACAGATGGAGATGGATACCAGGACTACCCTCCTGCCCTCCACAGAGGGCCTTGCTGTCTCTCTCATTCTCTCCCCTTTCTTTCTTCCTACCCTCCTCTCTTCCAACACTCACTGTGTAAAGCATGAATTACAGAATTTTCTATGCATGAAAGTGTGGGGTTTTCCAGAGCTCCCTTATTCAAGTACCAGCATTTTCTGGAACACCTGGAGAGCAAAGGCAGATGTTGAAGCTAATGGCACCAAGAACCCGCATCCTCAGCTCTTTAAGGAGGCCAGAGTGATTAGAGGGGACCCTAAAGATAGCCAGTGTGCTTGTTGTTCAGAAACGCTGCCAGGGAATGTAAATAGAAGAGATCAATGAAGAAACAGGCAAGGACTACACCCTGGGACTTTGCAGGGTGTAGAGCGAGCCCCGGCCACTGACTGGCAGTCTTCTCCGATGCATGCAGGGCTGTTTGCAAGTGCGCACGATGGAGCTGCCTTCAGTGTCAGGTGCGGGTGCTCAGCCTCAGCTGTTGAGGTAGATGTGCTTACTCCTCTCAGAGCCTGAGAGTGTTCCTCTTCATGGGCGAACTGGACCCTCGGGGAAAGGAGGGCCTGTGGGGTGCTGGGAAGGCGATGATGCTTGAGAGCAGAAAGGTGGCTGTCTTAGGTGGCTGTCTTCTTTGCATTCTGGGGAGTCTCTTTAAAGAGAATCTTCCATCTCAGTGTTTGCATCCACGTGAAGGTGTGCTGCATTCCCTGACCACTGCTGTCTTCCCTGAGGCGTTAGGTTCAAGGGCCTTTAAAAGAAACTTGGCCTCATTCCTCCCTGGAGGGAGAAGAGATCTGATACCCAGGCAAACCCAGACAACACATGACTGAAGTGGTATTTGAATCTCTGTAGCAAGGCAGTGCAAGACAAACTGTAAAACACACACCATTGGCATCCACACACTGGACTTTGTGTTGCCAAGTGGATCTTCTTTTAGGGCAGAACTAACATTGAATATGGATTCTTCCCCCAAGGAGCCATGGTTAGGATTTTGTTCAGGGCTGACTGGGGTTCCAGCTGTAAACAGGCAAATGTGTCAGCACACATTAGGGTCAATCACAGACTCTTGCAGTTTCAGTGGTAAACAGGTCGGATACAGCTCTAGAAGGTGACCTGTGTTCCCCTGTGTCATAGAGATAGCATCCCCATCCCATCTGGCTGCACTTTGCTCCTCTTGCCATGCTGTTTGCATAACAGCAACCTGTCATGTGAGACTGTGTCACCCTCGCGATGTCTAGCCCACCTATTTGTATAAACACACTCTGTGATGCTGGCACATGCTTCCCGATGGATTTCTGAATGAGCCCTATTTTGAAGCAGTGTATGACTGTTAGGCTTTAGACAAAATTATAAAACTGGCCTTAAGATTCTTCCTTGGTTTCTGCTGTCTTAGTGGGTTCGCGTGTGGCTGT